GGGGGTTAGGGATTCAACATATGAATTTTAGGGAGATCCAGTTTAGCCCATAACACCAATAGAGACAGGCTGAACAAGAAAGAAAGTGATACTTGTTCTCTTGTTGTTTGACAGCCTGGTAGAAAAAATGAAACAGCAGGACCCTCCTGGATACAAAAGCCTCTCCTTTCTTAAATGTAGGAAAAAGACTTCAGGCTCCTAGACCTTCCCTGAGTACTAAAGGGCAGATTCAAACAGTTACTAATTGGGGAGTGGAGGGAATTCAGAAACAAAAGAGAAACATCACAGCCATAAAGCAGGGTTCTAGTTCCTCCTCAAATGGTATACACAATAATGTATCTGATCTCTTCTACTGGAACTAGGGCATCCACCCAGGTAGGGGATAGTAATTTCTGTCTAAACACAAACAGGAGGAACCCAGACTGGTTGGAACCTGAAGGTTGATGATTTAGATTCCTGGAACACTACCTTTGTTAACTCATCACCAACCAATCAGAAAAAAGTCACACACTTTGTAGCCTGCCCCTGCCTCCCAAATCATCAGGGAGTTCCGGCTTTCTGAGCGTGGTCTGCCCATTAAATAAGGAGATTCTGATATTTCAGTTTGTTTGGCCTCACTGTGCATTAGGGACATGAACTTGGGTTCAGCAAGGACAGATATGAAACAGCTATTTCCATGAATCCATAGTTAATTACCATTATGGGATGGTCCAAGAAGCAGAAAAAGAGGTACTTGAAAAGGTAGTGTGGTGTTGGGAGCAGGTCAGGAATGTCCTCTAAGTTAGATCTGAAGGAAGGATGGGTGGGAGTCAGCCAGGTTGAAGAGGGAAGGTCGATTATTCCAGATTGGAGCAGGGAAGAACATGACATATCCAAGGAATCAAAAGAAGCTATTGCAGCAAGAAGTGAGTGGTGGGAGAAGGCAGCAGACGGCTGACGGGACCAGATTACACAGGATGTTCTGTCCTGACAGCCTCATTTCAGTGCTTACTGCATCGTGTCTTGGACTGATTTTTGTGTGTGGAGGAGGGGCCACTGCATGTTTTACTTCCCCTTCTGCTCCTTTAGGGAGGGGAGACTTGATCCCTTCATAGTCTCCATGGTGGGAAGGGATATAGTAGGTGCTCAGTAAACAAATTAAGTGGGTGTAGTGAGAACTGAGATTGACAGAAGCACTCTTGTCTAAATTAGGGGCTGACCCAGTCTGGAGAGTTTCTCCCAAAGGCTCTAGAAGGCGAGGACTTTTGGTAGTACGATGCCACCTAGCGCTCCTTTTAATTACGGCACTAAAGGGGAGCCTGGTAGTGAGTAGTCTTCGACTGTAACCTGGAAAATTGGGACACAAAGCATTTTTTTTCATCAGCATAAATTGTCAAGCCACCCATGCTCCCATTCACTCATCTATCCTTTTTGATGTCCTCCTGCATCTCTTTCCTGTTAATTAAAGATGTCATGTTCCTTCCACCTCCAGTGGTTCCGAGTGTCTGTGTTCTGTCTTTCTGTCTCCACATGATAAATAATACTCTCAGGTATCAGTGTCTAGATTCCCTGAGCACCCATAGTGCTTGCTGTTAACAGAGTCTGTTGTAAATGACACCATCACATCATGTTAGGATTAATTGTAGATCTTTCTTTCCCCCCAAGCCAAAGGGCAGTGACTTTGTCTTACTCGCTGCTGTGGCTCCTATGGCCAGCCTTAGGAGCTGTTGTTCTGTAGTAGTTGCTTATACAAAAGTGTTTTCTGCACTGAACTGCAGCAACCTTGGCAGGCCATCTGCTTGTGAAACTGTCCCATCGGCAACTCCCAGGCAGTGGGAAGACACATAGCTCTCTACAAGTGACACCAGTACAAGATCCAGGTGGCCAGGGCCCTCTAGGTCTTTCTTTATGGCTGTGTACCTTTAACAATGTTATTATGGAGTTTGTCTGGATTATGGTGGTCCCATGAGCTGGTCCCAGTGTTGTAATCAAGTTTTCTGTAAACACAAAGCAGCCTGAGTCAAGTTTCCTGCTCCATCTCCACCTCATTTCTATTAACTTGGCTTAAAGTTTGGTTCAACCTGCTTCTCCAGCTTCCTGTGCCACCTCTTTCACTATTTCCCTGCACGCTGTGGCTCAGTCATATTTTGTTCTATTTGTCCACCACATACACAGTCTCTGTTCATGAATGAGATATCACTGTACAAAAGTTAATTTCCCTCAAATTAATTCATAAATTCAACGAAGTTCCAATTAACATTTGTCATGAGGAACTTGAAAAATATCCTGAAAACGTATATGGGGCAATAAAGATTCATGACTAGCCAGTGCATTTTGACAGAGCAGGGAGGCATGTTCTGTCTTTTAACTATGATGACTGGCTACAAAATCATAGTAATAAAACCTTGTGGTGCTGACACAGGAATAAACCAGAGTTCAGAACAGACGCATCTATATTTGAGGAAGATGTTGAAAAGTGGACTCATTCCATTGAGGAAAATAAAACTGGATTCTTATCTCACACCATATATGGATGGATTAAAGAACTAAATGTGTAAAAGGAAAATTATTAGGCTAATAGGGCTTCCCTGATAGCTCAGCTGGTAAAGAATTCACCTGCAATGCAGGAGACCCTGGTTTGATCCCTGGGTCGGGAAGGTCCACTGGAGAAGGGATAGGCTACCCACTCCAGTATTCTTGGGTTTTCCTTGTGACTCAGCTGGTAAAGAAACCACCTGCAATGTAGGAGACCTGGGTTTGATCCCTGGGTTGGGAAAATCCCCTGGAGAAGGGAAAGGCTCCAGATGGATTAAACTAGACATGTAAAAGTAAAATTAGTAAGCTAATAGAAGAGTATGATAGAGAATATATTTATAACCTTGGGATTGAGAAGGACTTATTATACTAAAAAGCATAAAGAGGATGAAGGGCTATAAAATTAAAGATTATTCTTCTACAAAGGATATCACAAGCAACATGGCCAGTCTTTGAAAGTAGATTAATGTCTAGATGTTACAAAGACCTCTTGCAAATCAAAAAGAGCAATAGAAAAATAGGCAAAGGCTATAAGTAGACAATTCACAGAAGGGGACCCCAAGTGGCTTATAAATGTACAAAGAACTGCTCAATTTCACTCATAGAGAAATGCAAATTAAAACAATGTGCTGACATGAATTCCATGATACTGACACAAATTAGGAAACTGGCTAATTAGATGAATCAGTATTTGTAAGGCCCTGAGAATAGTATCTGACACTTAGTAAACACTATATGACTATTTATGAATAAATAAACCACTGTATGCTGGTAAGGATGGGAGTAGGGGACACCCTGGAATGTGGCATAGGGCAGCAGTTCTGGTGTGCCATCTGGCAGTATTTGGTGAAGTCAAGTACCCAGGGCTTCTGCCAGGCTACTATGTACCTTTGTGCCTTTGGAAAATACTGTCCACCACAGTATGAATTTGAAGAGGGCATACCCTCTGGGTAATCACAGCCTGTAGGTTCACGGCTTGACTAAGGAACAAAGCTTTGGTGGGAAGGAAAGGACATGTCTTCCTCCAGCAGAGCATGGGCATGACATGGGCGAGGGAGGGGTCTGTTTTTCAGCCCCCACTGGCTGGCTGGCTGGATGCGTCTGTGCAGGACAAGTTGAATATGATGGCCTCGTGTATCCCCTTTGGTTTTCACAATTTCACTCCTAGGCATATATTTCAGAGGAGTTTGTTCATAGGTCCATAAAAGACCACTGACAAGGATGACCATAGCTGCATTGTTTATGATACTGGAGAGGTGGAGCCAGCCTTGATATCCAGCACTGTGGGGCTGAAAGTAAAAGGTAAGGATGTCCAACACAGAAAGCAGTGCCACAAGAAGAAGCAATGAACTGGGATTACAACACCTACTAAACAGGGACAGAACCTTAAAAAATAGCTGAGTGAAAACTAGAAAACAGGATGATCCTTAAAGTCCAATACCACTGTTACAATTAAAAACGTGCAGTAATGAAAATGCTATACATTCTTTCAAAAATATATACCCAGGCATGTGTGTGCCGGCTGTCGCTTCAGTCCTGTCCCAACTCTTTGTGACCCTATGGACTGTAGCCTGCTGGGCTCCTCTGTCCACGGGGTTCTCTAGGCAAAAATACTGGAGTGGGTTACCGTGGTCTTACCCAGGTGATCTTTCCCACCCAGGGATCCAACCAGCGTCTCCTAGGTCTCCTGGATTGCAGGTGGGAGCCCCCGGGGAAGCCCATATACCCAAGCACAGTAGCATGAATTCCTCTGGAGGCTGAAATTGAGGTGTGGGGAAAATGAGAAAAAAAGGAAACAAGAGAGAGGTCTTTAATTAAAGAGTTTAAGTACTCCCACCCTGCACCTGAAGTCTAAAGGAGTGGAGGAGGAGGGACAGGGAGGAAGAGAGAAATCAGATACTAGGCAGATTTTCAGGACGTGGCTCCACGTATTTTTTCAGGGTGCCTCGACCTCTGCACCCTATTTTCCTCACCACTAGTGACTACAGCCTTTGGGGGCAGGGTCTGTGTTTCCTCTACCTTAGTTCTCTTCCCCCCTACCCCCTCCACCCTATGTCCTGCACACAGTAGCTGCTTCACAAGGGCTGGAATTGACGCGAACCGAGAATATTTCCTGCTCCCGTGACCGAGTCGCTTTGTGACAGAAGGCAGAGGGAGACTGCCGGGCTTTCCTTCATTCAAACCCTCTGATCCACATCTTCTTAGCGTCAGCCCTTGGTTCTCCATTGCCGGCTCCCGGGTCTAATCCCGGGTCTCAACCCGAGTGTCCTTGGCCTTGGGTACTGCTCACTTCCGCACACGCTGGGACTCCTCCCAGCCGCTCCGAGACTCCGCGGCTCGTAGCCCTGGTCCCGCCCCATTCAGGAGGCCCCCGCGGCTCTACGGAGCGCGGCCCAGGCGCCAGCCTCGGAGGCGCCGCCCCTTGCGAACCTTCGCTAGCGCCCCCAGCGGGCGAGGCGGTTGCCAGGAGACCGGGGGACGCGCGGAGCGCCGGGTTTCGGCCCCCCTTCTCAGCCTGCAGCTCAGTTTCCGCGATCTCCACAGCTGCCTTCGAGGCCACCCGCAGAGCGCGCCAGGATGGCCGAGGTCAGAAGTCAGCGCCCCCTTCTCTGTCGCCTCTCCTTCGACCCCTCCCCGTCGTCTCTCTTCTGCTATCCCGTGTCACATCCACCGATTCCGAACAGTCCCTCAGTCAGCATCCTATCCCCACCCACAACCGCACTCCCTACCGCCCCCGCTCCGGTTCTCTTTGGCGCTGGGTCCATTATTCCTTGCCCCTCCTTCCATTGGGCGGACACCCTCCCCCACGCCATCCCACCCTGTTAAACCTGGCGTGGTGCAAAAACTTATGGACTTTCATAAGTTCCCTCCTCACACATGACAGGCCCCCACTCCTAGATTTTGAATCGAAAGGTGAAACCACAGGAGAGATACACACAGAAATATTGATGTCTTGCTGAATGGGGAAACCTGGAAGAAGGCTTCATAAATATCCAGTGTCACCCTTGTTTACTGACCAGGTCACATCACGATTCCCTATCAACTGATCACCCATTACTCATTTCAGCCCATCACTACTGCCCTGTGCTGTCACTGACCACTGTGTCAATATCTTATGGCTTCCTTTCACTCCCCCACTTTGTAGCACACTCCAGCTTCAGCCTCACTGATGTGAGGTTATTTCTGCAACTGTTTGGTGACCCTTGCTGTCCACTGTTGTTGTTCAGTAGCTAAGCCGTGCCGGACTCTTTATGGCCCTATGGACTGCAGCACGCCCGGCTCCCCTGTCCATCGGCCTGTCCCTTAGCACCCGCATTTATAACCCGAACAACCTCAGATCCCTGTCCTCACTTGCCAGTCACAGTCCTCATCCATTATGGCCCTAATTCAAATCCTTCATCACTCCATCAGAGACCTTTCCAGTCTCTCATCGCATGGTCAGTCCCAGCCAGGATCAGTTACATAGTTTGTGGGGTTCAAGGAAAAATGAAAATGCGGAGTTTCATGTTAAAAAAAGAAAATTAACAGGTTTGAGCAGAACAATAAACCAAGGGTGGAGCACATCTTAGCAAGGAGGCTCCTGCAACTGAATAGTTGATATACCCACGAAGCCAGGCCTGGTCCCAGCTTCCCTCACTACCATCATACCCCTGTTCTAATTTCTTCTTTGGTCTCCTTTACACCTTTCACATCCCCTCATCATGCCATCTCCTCCACACCTAGTCTGCCCTTGCAAATTCCATCTTCTTACGGTCAATAGCTCTCTCTCCTTACCATACAATCCCTCTCATACTCTCCGTCTGCTTCCCTCTCTAGTCTCCATCACTCTCATCCATCCTGCCAGATGTCTTTCTTTTTTAAAAAATTTACTTTTAACTGGAAGACAATTGCTTTACAGTGTTCTGTTGGTTTCTGTTGTACACCAGTGTGAATCAATCAGAAGTATACATGTATCCCCTCCGTCTAGAGCCTCCCTCCCTCCCACCCCCTATCCCTATCCTCACAGAGCACTGGGCTGAGCTCCCTGTGTTATACGGCAACTTCCCACTAGCTGTCTGTTTTACACATGGTGGTGTATATGTGGCATTGATACTCTCTCAATTTGTCCCACCCTCTCCTTTTCCTCTGCTGTGTCTTTAAGTCCATTCTCTACATCTGTGTCTCTATTTTTGCCCTGCAAATAGGTTCATCAGTACCATTTTTCTAGATTCCATGTTTATGTGTTAATACACAATACTTGTTTTTCTTTCTGACTTACTTTACTCTGTATAACAGGCTCTATGTTCGTCTGCCTCAGTTCAATTGACTCAAATTTGCTCCTTTTTGTGGCTGAGTAATATTCCATTGTATATGTGTACCACAACTTCTTTATTCATCTGTTAATGGACATCTAGGTTGCTTCCATGTCCTGGCTATTGTAAATAGTGCTGCAATGAACATAAAGGAACATGGATCTTTTTGAGTTATGGTTTTCCAGAGTATATGCCCAGTCATGGGATTGCTGGATCATATGGTAGTTTTATTCCTAGTTTTTTAAGGAATTTCTATACTGTTCTACACAGTAGCTCTCTCAATTTACATTCCTACTAACAGTGTGAGAGGGTTCCCTTTTCTCCACATCCTATTCAGCATTTGTTGTTTGTAGATTTCTTGATGATGGCCATTTTGACTGGTGTGAGGTAATACCTCACTGTATTAGATTTGCATTTCTCTAATAATGAGTGATGTTGAGCTTTTTTTCATGTGTTTGTTGTCCATCCAAGGCCAAATTTCTTACCTTCAGTACCCACACTCATTCATACCTCTTTTCTTCCCATTTCCTCCTCCTGTTCTTTCTAGTTCTTTAATTTTTCCTTTATTTCCTTTTCTCCCCCCAGTAGTCCTCTTGGTTTATTTCATTCTTCTTCATTTTCACTATGTAAGCCCCAGATATCAATACTATAAACTAATAATTTTCCTGTCTCTCTTTCCTTTCATAATCTACTGTCATTTTTTTCATCTATTTTTCTTTTCACCTGACCTCAGTCAAATTTTCCTCACCTTTGCTTTTATACCCTGGAGAAGGAAATGGCAACCCACTCCAGTACCCTTGCCTGGAAAATCCCATGGACAGAGGAGCCTGGTAGGCTACAGTCCACAGGGTCGCAGAGTCGGATACGACTGAGCAACTTCACTTTTTGCTTTCATAAGTCTTCATGTCCATGCAGCCTCACTTTTCACTGCAACTCTTTTCTTCTTTTCCCTTTTCCCCACTACTCTCAGCACCTAGAACAGTGCCTGGCTAATAGTACACACCCAAATCAGTGTTGTATCAAGGAACATCACAGTTCCTTTCTGATCAGTTCATGTTGAAATCCTGCTTCTCAAATAGATACCATTATATGTTAAAACAGTGTAGATACCAACTGGTTATTGGTCACAGCTAAAAGATTACTTTTGCTTTGCTTTGAATTGCNCTTTCACATCCATACATAACTACTGGAAAAATCTTAGCTTTGACTATACGGATCTTTGTAGGCAAAGTAATGTCTCTGCTTTTTAATATGCTATCTAGGTTTGTCATTGCTTTTCTTCCAAGGATAAAGCGTCTTTTAATTTCATGACTGCAGTCACCATCCATAGGAATTTTGGAGCCTAAGAAAATAAAATCTGTCACTGTTTCCACTGCTTCCCTGTCTATTTGCCATGAAGTGATGGGACTGGATGCCATGATTTTCATTTTTTTTTTGAATGTTGAGTTTTAAGCCAGCTTTTTCACTCTCCTCTTTAACCTTCATCAAGAGGCTCTTTAGTTCTTCACTTTCTGCCATAAGGGTGGTGTGTCATCTGCATATCTGAGGTTATTGATATTTCTCCTGGCAATCTTGATTCCAGCTTGTGCTTCATGCAGTCCAGTATTTCGCATCATGTACTCTGCAGATAAGTTAAATAAGCAGGGTGACAGTATACAGCCTTGATGTATTCCCTTCCCAATTTGAAACCAGTCTGTTGTTCCATGTCTGGTAAATACCATTTACAGGGAGGAAACGAAGAACATTGATGGGATAAATGTTTGTTGTGTGTTCATGTTTAGCATCAACAAGGGGAAAGCATTGAGCAGCAGCCACACCATTCCTTGGAGAAGGAAATGGCAACCCACTCCAGTATTCTTGCCTAGAGAATCTTGTGGACAGAGGAGCCTGGTGGGCTGCTGTCTATGGGGTCACACAGAGTCGGACATGACTGAAGCGACTTAGCAGCAGTAGCAGCAACAGCAGCACCATTCCTTAATACGAGTTTTTCTTCTTTGCGGAATTGCTGTATTGTGATCTTTGCAATAATCTGCTTTTTAAGTCAGGAAGAAAACCTCCGTTGAGTTTACTGTTAGTATTAATGCTAATGTTATACAAAATGTTCTATAAATATGCTTGTGACTCCATATCTGGTTTAAGATATAGACTCTGTTTTGCTTGCATGTCATATTTAGAAGTGTAATCAACAGTACAGGTGTTTTTGAAGACTTTTTCTTTGTTGGAAAAGACAGGTTTGTCAGGGCAGAAGGTAAACTAGACAACTTACCCAAAGTCTGCAGGGTGAATTTGAATTTTACTTTATTATTGGGATTAGAGATTGTGTCAGTTAATTTCTTTGAGTGGCAATAGAGGTTTTTGTTAAAAAAATTATTGGAATACAGTTGATTTACAATGTTGTGTTATTTTGGGGTTACAGCAGAGTGAATCAGGTAAACATTTACACATAACCACTATTTTTAAGATTCTTTTCCCATTTAGGTCATTACATTGTGTACTAAACACAGTTCCCTGTGCTGTACAATAGAGGGTTATTAGTTATCTATTTTGTATATGGTAGTATGTATATGTCAATCCTAATCTCCCAATTTATCCCTCCCCTTCATCTTCTCCCCCTGATAACCATGTTTGTTTTCAACATCTGTAGTTCTATTTCTGTTTTATAAATAGGTTCATTTGTACCTTTTTTTTAGATTCCACATATAAGAGATAACATATGATATTTGTCTTTTTCTGTCTGACTGACTTCACTCAGTACAGCAATCTCTAGGTACATCCATGTTGCTGCACATGGCATTATTTCATTCTTTTTATGGCTGAGTAATATTCCATTGTATATATGTACCACATCTTTTTAGAATTTTTATTATTGGAGTTTAATTGCTTTGCAGTGTTAGTTTCTGGTACACAACAAAGTGAAATAGCTGTATGTATGTATACATATATCCTCTCCCTCTTGAGTCTCCCTTCTCCCCAAGTCTCTCTTCCCCCATCCCACCTTGTACCACATCTTTATCCATTTCTTTGTTGATGGACATTTAGGTTGCTTCCATATCCTAGCTATTGTTAACAGTGCTGCAATGAACATTGGGATACATGTATCTATTTGAACGAATTATGGTTTTCTCCAGATACATGCCCAGGAGTAGGATTGCTGGGTCATATGGTAGCTCTATTTGTAGTTTTTTTAAGAAGTCCCCATACTGTTCTCCATAGTGACTGTAGCAATTTACATTCCCATCAACAGTGTTAGCAATAGTTTTGATTTTAAAGCCTGTTTTAGTGGAGATCTCAAAGCTTAATGTTACAAACATAAATAAGACCTTTCAAAACTTATCAGCTCTTTGCTCAAAAGGTTAAGTGGTTACCTGTGACTTCCAGAATAATTTGCTCTATATTCCTTAGCATGCTATTCAAGGTGTCCAGTCTGTCCCTAGCTCCCTGTCTAGTCTCTGTCCCTCTCCACATTATACTTCTTTAGCTAACTTGAGCTTCTAAACCAGTTTCAAATCACGGATACCTGCTTGGCCCTGAGTCTTTGATCAAGTTTTGCCATGGGCCAGGAATGCCCTTTATCTTCACCTCTACCTGTGAAAACTCCAATCTCCCTTTTATGCCTGCTCAAATGCCACTTCCTTTATGAAATTGGCTTTAATTCTTGCTGCTGGGAGCAATTCCATCTTTCTATAGGTCCTCATAGAATTTTGAATCCATTTTATGGCAGGTATCAAACTCCATGCTTCTATTTTCTGCATACCGCATACATACTGCATCAGCTCTTAATGTACACATTTCCTACGGGAAGGCTGTATATTCCTTACTTTGGTATCTCCTCTAGCCTCTTCATTCCAACTTATATACCGAAGATGTTCAATCAATATTTTCTGAATAAATATGTTAACCATACCCATTCTTTTTTTTTTTTTATTATTATGCCATTTGTAGTAAGAAATAGGTGTATTCGTTGGGTAGGGCATCTGTAACATAGTACCACAAACTGGGTAGTTTACAGCAGAAATTTATTATTTCACAGTTCTGGAGACTAAAAAGTCTGAAATCAAGATGTCTTCAGAGCCATGCTCCCTCTGAGACTATGAATAAAATACTTCTTTGCCTTTTCCTAGCGTTTGGTGGTGGCCAGCCATCCTGAGTTTTCCTTGGCATGCAACTTTATCAGTCTAATCTCTGCCTCCATCTGTCACATGGGTTCTTGTGTGTATGTGTATATCTGTGTCCAGATCCCCCCCCCACTTTTTTACTGAGATATGATTGACATGTAGCATTGTATTAGTTTTAGGTGTATAACATAATGATTTGATATATGTGTGTGTGTGTGCTAAGTCGCTTCAGTCGTGTCTGACTCTTTTTGATCCCATGGACTGTGGCCCACCAGACTCTTCTCTCCACGGGATTCTCCAGGAAACAATACTAGAGTGAGTTGCCATGCCCTCCTCCAAGGGAACTTCCCAATCCAGAGATCGAACCCATGTCTCCTGCAGCTCCTGCGTTACTGGTGGATTCTTTATCCCTGAGCTACCAGGGAAGTCCAAGAATGCTGGAATGGGTTGATATTCCCTTCTCCAGAGAATCTTCCTAACCCAGGTGTTGAATCTGGGTCTCCCACATTGTAGACAGATTCTTTACCATCTGTGCCACCAGAGAAGCCCCCTCGATTTATGTATACAGTTTGAAGTCATTACCACAATGAGTTTAGTTAACATCGATCACCCCACATAATTATAAAAATTCCTCCCTTCTTAAAGAATAAGGACACTAGTCATATGGTATTAGGACCCACCCTACTCCAGTATGACCTCAACCTAATTGTATATGCCATGACTCTATTTCCAAATAAAGTCACATTCACAGTTACTGGGGGTTAGAACTTCAGCATACCTTTCTCTGCTGCTGCTGCTAAGTAGCTTCAGTTGTGTCCTTTCTCTAGGGTACACAATTCTGCCCATAACACTAGGGAAATATGAATTCTTATATAACTAAATCCTGGTTCTCATCTAAGTCAGACTTGCTTGAATTACATCTATATGCTTTTATTTTAAATAATTTGCTGCCCAGCTAATCATGGAAAGCAAATGTGGAGAAAGCCCATGACCGTTGCCCAGGGGGCATTTCAAAATTGTTGTGGAGATGAACTAGGCTAATTTTTGAAGGGGTAAAAATGATGGAGTATTTTAAAATAGAATGCTCTACATTCTGGACAGGTTTCATTGTAAGTGTGATTTCATGGTATCTATGTTATGTCTGACCTCAGCATGCTGTGGCTTCCCTCTGCAGTCCTGGGGATGGTGAGAAGCAGGCTTAGAATAATCATTAATAGCTCTTATATTTTTGAGTATCTACTGTTTGCCAGGCACTTGGTTAAGTGTTTAACGTGAATTATCCCATCTAATCCAATCCTTAGCACTATGTGGGAGGAAATATTAAGAAATATTATTATTCTTATGCTTATGTATACATATATGCAGAATGCTTGTGCTCATTCAGTCGTGTCCAACTCTTTGCAACCCTATGGACTGTAGCCTGCCAGGCTCCTCCATCCATGGGATTCTCCAGACAAGAATACTGAAGTGGGTTTCCATGTCCTCCGCCAGGTTATCTTCCCGACCCAGGGAACAAACCAGTGTCTCCTGAGTCTCCTTCATTGGCAGGTGGATTCTTTACCACTGGAGAAGCCCATGTATATGCAGACCTTCATATAAATCACCTGTTTATCAGTACCTTTTATTTTGCTTGTTCGAAGGTCTTATTCATGAGTAATAGCAGTCATTCCTGAATAGTGATGAGGTAAATATTGCAATCTTCATTCTCATCTTTGACTTTTTGAACAGGAAAAGGCTGAAAAACTAGTGCTGGAGGAAACTGCATATGAAGAAATCGAAAGGGATTTTCAGGAGGTTCTCAATGAACTCTCAGGGGACAGAAGTTTGGAGAAATTTAAGGTTGAATATGAGAAGCTTCATGCCGTCATGAAAAAGTCTTATGACAATGAAAAGCGTCTGATGGCCAAGTGCAGAGAGCTGAATGCGGAGATCGTGGTTAATTCTGCTAAGGTCGCCACTGCCCTGAAGCTCTCTCAGGATGATCAGACCACCATCGCATCCCTGAAGAAGGTCAGTCATCTTCTAGAAAAGGAACCATGGCGAGCTGCCATAAATGCATCTTTAAATCCCATCTTTAAAACATCATCCTTTCATTATATTGGCAGCTCTGGGCAGTAGTAAAAGAGTTATTAAGTAAAAATTTACATGATTTATGTATTCAGTAAACCTAGGGAATAATGAAAATTTTGAAAATTTATGAAATTTTATGAAAAATAATGAAAATTTTCATTTTCGAAGAAAATAGCTTGCTTGAGTGAATTTCACGATGTAGAAAATAATGTAGAGCCTTACTGACTTGGTTCTAGGAAATACTGGGTTAGCAAAAGCATTTGGCCATAAGTAAGTGTAATATTAGGAATGTCAGTATCTCTTGTTTGAAGAAAGATAGGTATTTAAATACCTTATGATGATAGCTTGTTAAAGATATTTTCATATTCCTATTTTTTCCAATATTTTGGGAGAGATTACCGTGAGAATTTCCATATGGTAGTTTTTGTGATCTTTTCTCTTATCCCCCTTTTGCTTCTGCAGTGATTGTCCCAGTTTCTCATAATGGGAGAATAGGGATTCAGTCTGGAGGAGTGGTTATTGAGGAAGTATGACTTTATTTTACACTTTATTTTTTCATCCTTAAGTATGTTACATTGTTTTGAAGGTGAAACGCAAACGTTCCTTGTAGATTGTAGGGTGATAAGAGGTTAGGATATTTTATTTTATAATTGAAACCCTAGTGCTGAAAAATAATCACAAAATGTTTAAATAATTCCCTTGATATCATACAGTTAAATGTACCCCAATTTTTTCAGTGTCTTTCTCTCTCTATTGTTATTTTCTTCTAATCTTTGCAGGAATACCAATATAAGAAGGCTTTAAATCATTTTATGATGAGAACTCCCTCCCACTTTTTAGTGTAAATTAAAAAACTGGAAATTAAAGTCATGAATTGACTAAAATATAATTGGTGAAATTGCTTCAGACAGAACTTCATAAATCATATTTTCATTTAAATATCTTTCTTTTGTTTTGCTGAAAATAGTACATATGGTTGCTACAGAAAAAAATATCCCATGAACTGACATTTTGTTTTGAATCACTTAAATTTATGTGCTGCAGTTACTCAAGAATCATCTCTTTCTAATGTAATGGGATGAATTTATTTAATTAAATACTTTCTTCCACTCATTTTATTCCTTGTCACATAAAAGTAAAATATCTTCGCCTTAAACATATAGATTCTTATTTGTGTGAAAGGGCTCATATTCCACTTGATGAAATTTTGCAAGAAAATTAAGTGGCAGGGCAAAACTCAAGTCTGTTGCAACATTTACTGTCCTTCATCCATGTACTCTAAAGCCTGTGATTCTCTTTAAAGTATTTCTGTTAGTATTCCACAATGCATTCAAAATAGTATTGCTTTTCCCCTACAAGCATTCAACGAGAAGGCCTAGGCTTGGGTTTCTGGAAATGGGAATTATCAAGGCTGTTGTGTACAATTAGGTGACAGTCAAGGCCTCATTTCTACAGATGGCTCTAAAGTTCGCATTGCCATCACTTAGGGCCTGAGGGCAAAACTTATTCTTAATATGAAATTTATGAAGAGCTTCACATTTAGGACTTGGATCCAAGACCATTCCTTTTTTTCTATAAAACATCTGGACTTGGAAAGCATATAAACTTTCATTTTAGATTTTGTAAACATCTCTTAACATCTTTATTAGAAATAATCCCACTAATTCTAGCAACTCTTGCAGTATGTGAACCCTGTAACTACATTCACCTACACAAGAGAAAATATCCTTTGCCAGTTTCCATCTTTAAAACAGCTCCTCAATATTGACTAACTCATGCCAAGAAATGCAGTAAGTCAATATACATTTAATACATAGTGTATAAGGTATAATCTTCTGTTCCTGTAAATGACTTATATATTGTACTTATTATTCTAAATATTCAATTTATGTTGCATCTGGAACCTAGTTTGGTTTTTCTCACTGATATCCTGTGGCTCATCTAGGAAATTGAAAAGGCCTGGAAGATGGTGGATTCAGCCTATGATAAAGAGCAGAAGGCAAAGGAGACGATTCTTGCCCTGAAAGAGGAAATCGTGAACCTAACCAAACTAGTCGAGCAAGGGTCTGGACTGTCCATGGACCAAGATAGCAAGTAGGTCATTTTACTTTTGCACAGGCCCCCTTCTTCAACAGACAGCCTGGGGCTTGCTGGTTCTTTGTGAACATAAGACACTTGCTTGTTGGGTTCCCAGAGATAGTTTCTTGTTTATTACTGCATTTGTTTTCTTTTTAATACTCCCTTTTTCCACACCCAAGAACTTCATTTTTTTCTTTTTTAAATAAAAATATTCTTTTTAAAAAACATTTATTTATTTATTTGGCTGCTCTGGGTCTTAGTTGCAACATGTGAACTCTTTAGCTGTGGTATGTGGGAACTAGTTCACTGACCAGGAATCAAACCTGGACTCCCTGCATTGGAAGTGCAGAGTCTTAGCCATTGGACCACCAGGGAAGTCCCCTCAGGACTAATTTGTGGTTTTATCAAGCTTCTGGCTCTATAAAATCAGCCATACAGTTTGAAAATGAGTAAAGATTTTAAGTTTATTTCTATGAAACTTGTACGGAATGGAAATGGCTGACTTTCTACTCAGATTCCCAGCCCCTCCCAAACATCCTTTGACCCATGACTAGCTGTATCACCATCCTTCCTACTTCCTCAGGGTCTAAGCCAGAAAACAGTTTGCTCTTCACACCTGTTACCCCTCCATCCCTTAAAGTTTTGTCTTTTTGACTCAGTCTTCTAAGCATACTTCATTCTTCCCCTCCTCCCCATCACCACTGGGTCCCCCATTCTCTGCAGGATTTGGCAGCAGACTCCTAACTGTTCTCTCTGCCTTCAAGGAGACATCTCCCCTCTTTACCATCTTTCATACTAGACTTATGCTTCTCAAACATGTACTACTACATGCTTCTATTGCCAACACATTGCACCCTCGACAACTACCCATTTCCAAAGAATAAAGACCAAAGTCTTGAATATACAAAGCTTTTTGTAGATCTGCCCCAGTCAGCCTTGCTAGACTTGCATCCAGCAGCACCATGCTTGCCCACGTCTCAGCAGCACCTTGCTTGCCCACGTCTCTATGCATTTGGCCATAGTGTTTTCCATGCCATGGATCTCTTTTCTTCGCTTCTCCACACAGTAAACAACTATTCATCCTTCAAGACCCATCTTGAACAGCATCTTAACTTTATCACCATCAGCTTCTCTATTCCAGCCTCGCCCCTAGCCCCAGACCTAATGACCAGGCAGAGGAGCCATTCTGTTCCCTGTTTTCCGTAGGACCCAATGGTTCATGCTTGTGCTCAGTCATGCCTGACTCTTTGCGACCCCATGGACTGTAGCCTGTCAGGCTGCTCTGTCCATGGGTTTATCCTGGCAAGAATACTAGAGTGGGCTGCCATTTCCTCCTCCAGGGGATCTTCCCGATCCAGGAATTGAATCCATGTCTCCTGTGGCTCCTGCATGGGCAGGCAGATTCTTTGCCACCTGAGCCAGGTGGGAACCCTGTCGTAGGACCCAATATTTCCCTCAAAGATGGCACTTATCATGTTGTACTTAAATGATTTGCACTTCTCTGCGCATTAAGCTGTAAACTCCTTGAAGGAAAAAAGCTATCTTGACCTTCCCTCTATGAACCTAACACTCTGCAGGGCATGCAAAACCTTGCATTAATTAATGAACGAGGAATGAGCATGCACTTCCTTAGGCATCCTTGACAATGTTTACCTGCTGCCTAGGTTTCCTATGCTTTCTAGATACATTTATCCTATGTTGATAGATAGTTCTAAATGCAGGAGGGACTAGGAAAAATAAACAGAAGATGTGGTGTTCATAATGACTCCGTTTTCTTGTTAAAGAAGTCACATACAATCAGAGTAGCTATTGAAGAGCAACATGAGGGAGCTGATTTCGTTAGGAGGATTTTTAATGAAAATTAGAACATGATGAGTAGGAGGGCTGATGAAAGAATCCAGCTTGCATTTTATCTTCCACAGTGTACTTAGATGTAGCGGTCTGTCTTTGCAGTAACCTTAGAATTCCAGATCGTCTTTTTGGAGAAGAGTTTGTGATTTTGAGGGTTCATTATTAAACAATCATATCAAAGGGTGGTCAATACATATTATCCAGTCACTGTGCTTCCAATAGTCATTTGATGACTGTCAGCTACAAGCATCTTAAATGCAAGTTCTCTGGTTCCTTAGCTCTAAAGTAGCTGCCTTGTTCTAGATGAATTCTGCTATAGAGGTCTTATCAGACACAGTTTTTCTACTTTCAAAATGCTAATTCTGAAGAAAGTCATGCCAAGTCATATGTAATTGTTTTTGAAATGCTGAGGTAACTGGTTTACAATTTATATCAACAAATATTACCACGTACCCTCCCAAAGGGTTTCCCAGGTGGTAAAGAACCTGCCTGCTAGTGCAGGAGACATAAGAGACACTGGTTCAATCTCTGGGTCGGGAAGATCCCCTGGAGGAGGGCATGGCAGTCCACTCCAGTATTCTTACCTGGAGAATCCCATGAACAGAGGAACCTGGCAGGCTACAGTCCATAGCGTTGCACAGAGTCGGACACAACTCTAGTGACCTAGCAGGCATGCACACATCCTCCCAAAACTGGCATCACTAGTCATTGGCCAAATTTTGTTCTTGGGAATGTTTTATTTGGTATGTCCCTTCGGGAGAAATGAATCTCATGAGTGAATGAATAAAAAACTGACAATGTGTATTGTTTGCTTACGTTTTTGCTTCATTTTAGACTTTATAGCTGTGGTTATAGCTTTCCAGTGAATATATTAAGCAAATGATTTCCTAAATTGACATCTCCTTAGGGTTAATTACAAGAGCTAACAATAGCTCTTGTTAACTATAGTTTTATCGTAACAAATTCAAATACAACAGGAACATGGGAAGTCAGAAGTAAAAATCAGCCTGTCAACTCTTCCACTTTAAACTTCATTCATCAGAGATAACTGGTTATCAGTTTGGTGCCTAATCTTGATTTCTATAAAAATGCCTATAGCACACACACATGGATTGTAATTGCTTAAAAAACAAGAAAAGGAATCATATTATGCATATTATTAGTGGAACGTCTTCTTTTTCCAGTTAACAACTGACAAATAGCTCCCATGTCAGAAATAAAGATCTCTCTTTCACACTTGAATAGTGTTGATCCTTGACTGGAAGTCTTTCCCATGAAAAGGAGTTCAGAGGATGATAAACAGGAGCTCTGAGCAGATGGCTGTGGCTGGTAAGTCTGACTCCCGTGTTCTTCTCTCGTAGTATCCGGGACTTGCTGAAGTTCAAAGAAGAGGTGACAAAGGAGCGAGACCAGCTGTTGTCAGAAGTGGTGAAATTACGAGAGTGCTTAGCTCAGACCGTTGAACAGCAGCAGGAAATGGAGCGGTCCAGGGAAGAGGCGGAGCAGACCCTCAGTCAGGTCTGCTCTGAACACGGGGAGAAAGATGAAGAAACATCACCTTCCAGAGGAGCTTTTGTCCTTCCCGTCTCCCTTCCCGTCTTGTTCCTCTCTCTCATTTACCCCGCTGTGCCCCAGATAAGGCATCCATGGTTCTGCTTGTTTCTCTGGTTTGTTTTTGCAAGAGCAGTTTTAATTTGAGTCATTCTCCTCAATAGTCTTTGCCTGAGAAGTCACCAAGACAGGGCACTGCTTACATTTCTGGCCCAAGAAGGGCCTGTGACAGCCAGGATGCCCTGCCTCTGGGGATGGTGGAAGCAGTTCCCCTGGCCTTTCTCCTTTGTGAGGAAGCCATCAAGCTGAATCCTTCCATACACTTTGCTATAAAGCCAGAGGTCAAATAGATAGTACACAAATGCAAACTTCTGGAGAATAACAGGAGACTCCTCCTGTTATAATCCTCCTGAGATAAGATAATGACTTTTCATAGAACCTGGCAATCATGATAAAACTATACAGTACTGTGTTTAGCAGTATTCAGGACTCATGGAAAACACATTTTCATATTTAGGGTAGCTGGCTACATTTTATTTTGTTTTGATGGAGAGTTGGATGAATTCTTTCCATGTTTGACCTCCCCAGAACTCTGGGATTGCATATTTAACTGGACTTTATACCTTTCTTTGTGGATTTGTTCCCACCATCAGGGTATACATTTGGTGCCGAGGCTCTGAAAAACAATACAGAATATTCTTGAAAAGTTTGACCATTGGGGTTCAAAGATGACTCCTACAGGAGAAATACTACTGAAAAATCACTGCCCTGAAAATATCCAAGAGAGGGAGAAGCTCAGCTTGTTGACACTCGTCCTGGAGAGGGGCTCATCTCTTCCCTGCCTGTCCTTTCTGTGCCCATAGTTCCAACAAGAAATCCAGCAACGTCAGAATGAAGCTTCACGGGAGACCCGGAAGAAAGAAAAACTAGAGAAGGAGCTCAGGCAGATTCAGACGGACATGGACAGCAGGCAGACGGAAATCAAGGCACTGCAGCAGTACGTTCAGAAGAGCAAGGACGAGCTTCAGAGGCTGGAGCAGCAGCTGAAAGAGCAGAAGGTGGGCTGGGCAGGGCTGCCCTGTGGGGCCTGGCCAGAGGTGATGCTTGAATTTCCTCTGGAAAGCAGCAAGTCCCTTCTCTATGGATGTTGATGGATGTTGGTAACACAACACGCAGCACTGTGTTTGGTCTTTGAATGACACTGATGGTAGATATGTCCTCCCCTGTCCTCTGCCCTCTCCCCGTAAAGGTCAGCTCTCTTCCGAGTTCTGAGCAGGCATTAGTTTTGCCTGCTTCTGTACTTTACAGAAAGGAAATCAAACAGGACGTACTCTTTGGTGTCTAATGTCTTTCTCCTCATATCGTGTTTGTGAAATTCATTTATGTTATTGCCACAGTTATAGAACCACACTGTCTAATGTGGTAGCTAACCACATACGGCTATTTACATGTAAATTATTTAAAATCAAGTAAAATAAAAAATTCGGTTCCTCAGTCCCACCATTTCAAGTGCTCATAGCCACATGGGACTAGTAGATACGCAGAAGAGAGAACATTTAGTTCATTGCAGAAAGTTCTATTGGACAGAGCATTCCAGCTTGTAAATATAACATGACTTATTTTTAACATGCTTATTTTTAAGTTTCAAGTTTGGAAAACCACACACAGTCTTTATGCTAAATATGATACTTTTCTAACATTTCCTCTCTAGTAACAGTTTAAGGTAACACAAATACTAATCTGTCTTTTCTAATTGCTTAAAGAACCAATTCATGTAATTGAAAAAAATCATTTCTTGAAAGTATGTTCTTTTCAGAAGTTTCCAAACTATTTTTCAAGCCATCCAGCATTTTTCTACTTAAAAAATTAGATATTAGAGCACATTCATCAGTTGCTTTATTAATTTTACATAAAGCCAGATGTCAAGTAGATAATATGTGATGTGTAATATCCATGAGAACAACATGAGGCTTTCTTTGATTATGAAAACCTTTCTTTGAGAGGTTTTTGGTCACCATAAAACAATAGTCAGGACCCGTGGAAAAGCTTATTTAGTCCTTATTGATGGGAAGTTGGATGGATTCTTTCTGTATTTAACTTTTGCTTGAATGGAAGTTAATTGGAATAAGTGTTTTCTAAACTATCTTCTCACCCTTTTCCCCCCTTTAACCTTTTTGATATCCCTTCATCTCCCCAGTATTTTCCCAACAGAAATGACCTCCCAAAATATGTGTGTTTATAAATATGTATTTATGAAACCATATCTTCTCAGGATAGTCAAGGTAAGGAAGAGGAAAATCAAACTGACTCTGAAGTCAGGCAGTTATAAATCATTCCACTACTGTTCCACAGTTTTGACTTAAGTTGGATTAAGGAGAATTGTCTCTTGTGTTGATGTTTAGTGAAAGGTTCTGTTCACGAAAATATCATAGGCATGTTAATGCAGGATTTGCTTCTGAAGATGTAGCTTCTGAGCCCCATAGCCGATAAAGCCTGCTTGAATCTCTAGCTCATTTGCAATGATTATAGCAATTGTTGCGTATGCGAAGCCTGCCAAATGGCAAACAGGCATTAAAATATTTATCCACCACCTGTGAACAAGACTTCCCAAGGCTCCCAGAAAAAAAAAAAAAAATTATGCTCTCTGTGTTATTCATTAGAAGGCATCATTTCCCTCAGCCATTCAGCAGTCATCGTATTTGAGTGCATTTGTGCTTTCACTGGGGAGCAAGAACCATTTCTGCAAAGATGAAAAAATGGGTGGTTGCCTTGCCTTTCCCAGGAGGTCTGCATGGCCTCCTGTGTGGGTATGCAGCCCCTGTAAAAGCATTAACCAGCTTGTTCTGCATCTTTCAGATACTTAATGAGAGAGCCGCAAAGGAGCTGGAGCAGTTTCAGATGAGAAATGCTAAACTTCAGCAAGAGAACGAACAGCACAGTTTGGTTTGTGAGCAGCTATCCCAAGAAAACCAGCAGAAGGCGTTGGAGCTCAAAGTAAACTCTCAGTGACATATCTGTTCCTTGGCGCGCCCTTTTTCATTCCCTATTAGTATAAATACAGGTTGATCGCTGCTGTTGGGAGCCCTTGGTTGCATAACCTGCATTAGCCTTGGTCCATCAGAGGCAGGTGTAAACCTACAGTGATTGCTTTATGCCCAGAAGCAGTTTAATATAATAGCGTCCATTCTTAAAACATTGCAAAGCTGATTCTTGGTCATATGATTATGCAGATATTTTCCAAAGCGAGCTCAGATGTTCATCTCTCTAGTTCAGCCTTGCAAGTAACCAGTTGCCCAGAGCAAGAAACCAGTTACACATGTGAGTGACAAAGAAGTCAGATTATATTTCACTGCTTGCATGGAATGGGAGGGGTGGGGGATGGACTGCTACTGTTTGGTGTCTACTCTTAGGACTGCAGAATCATGATTTTCACTTCTGTCCAGTGTAAATTTCAAGAATGGCCTCCCTTTGCTGAAGAGTGCTTGCAAATTAAGTTTGGATAACCATTTTATACTTGGATACATATTGTCTGCCTACATGCTTAGCGGAGTGGCTTTATGTTTATCAGCAGTTCTGAAAAATCCATAAACCTTATTCTAGTATTGTTAGAATACTCAGCAATGACTAATCACAAAAATACATTGATTCGAGTAGTAAATCTTAACAGTTTTTGTGTCACAGCCCCTTTTGGGAATCTGATAAAAGCATGTGTGTGCGTGCACACACACATACATACATACACACCCTTACTAATATTAGTACATCTTACATATTATTTTGCATGCTGTCTTAGAAATTTACAGAATTTTTCTGAAGTATCACTATCAGGTCTAGATTAATAACTACTGAATTAGAACATTTTATTTTTTAATTGAAAGAGATCTTAGATGAACTAATTTGGACCCCACAGGATCTGAGGCTGAGGAACATTTAAGCAGTCCAGAAAGGCTTGACTCACTGTTCTTTATGAGAATGCTCCAAGTTAAAGCAGAAATGAAATGACCGCTGAAGGCAAAATAATGTATTAGCCCCTAAGGTGAAATCAAAGTAAAAGTACTTAAGTCAATAATTCTCTCCTTTGGTAACATGCATGGGGCACCTTGAAAGATGGAATATTTTGTTATGAGATTCTAAACCCCTGGGATTCTGGTTCTAGCAGTGATCTGAGCATAATATGACCAGCTAAGTGCTGTCTCTTCATTGTCAAAACTGGGGATAATTGCTACTCTTTATTTTCAGAAAATCAACTAGTTTCTAAGAATGACAAATTAAAAAAAAATTCATAAAACTTGAAGTCCAGAGACAAAAATCTGGTGCTTTACTTTGCTAGAATTGTCATTTTGATACCTTTTGATATCATGTAGACTTGCTCATTAATGCCACCCTGTCCTCCTGTCCATATGGACAGTCATAGACTAACGTTCTCTGCAGAAGTAGATGTTTTTCTGGAATTCTCTTGGTTTTTTTGTGATCCAACAGATGTTGACAATTTGATTTCTGGTTCCTCTGCCTTTTCTGAATCCAGCTTGTACATTTGTAAGTTCTCAATTCACATACTGTTGAAGCCTAGCTTGAAGGATTTTGAGCATTACTTTGCTAGCATGTGGAATGAGTGCAATTGTGTAGTAGTTTGAACGTTCTTTGGCATTGCCCCTCTTTGGGATTGGAATGAAAACAGATGTTTTCCAGTCCTGTGGCCACTGCTGAGTTTTCCAAATTTGCTGGCATATTGAGTGCAGTACTTTCACAGCATCATCTTTTAGGATTTGAAATGGCTCAACTGGAATTCCATTGCCTCCACTAGCTTTGTTTGCAGTGATGCTTCCTTATGCCCACTTGACTTCACACTCTAGGCTGTCTGGTTCTAGGTGAGTATCATACTATTGTTGATTATCTGGGTTGTGAAGACTTTTTTGCGTAGTTCTTCTGTGTATTCTTGCCACCTCTTCTTAATATCTTCTGCTTCTGTTAGGCCCATACCATTTGTCATTTATTGTGTCCATCTTTGCATGAAATATTCCCTTGGTATCTCTAATTTTCTTGAAGAGATCTCTAGTCTTTCCCATTCTATTGTTTTCCTCTATTCCTTTGAAATTTTTCACTTAAAAAGACTTTTTTATCCTCCTTGCTGTTCTTTGGAATTCTATATTCAGGGTGTATCTTTCCTTTTCTCCTTTGCCTTTCATTTCTCTTCTTTTCATAGCTATTTGTAAGGCCTCCTCAGACAGCCGTTTTACGTTTTTGCATTTCTTTTTCTTGGGGATGGTTTTGATCTCTGCCTCCTGTACTGTGTTACAAACCTCTGTCCATAGTTCTACAGGCACTCTGTCTATCAGGTCTAATTCCTTGAATCTATTTGTCACTTCCACTGTAAAATCATAAGGGATTTGATTTAGATCATACCTGAATGGCCTAATGGTTTTCCCTACTTTCTTCAATTTCAGTCTGAATTTTGCTGTAAGGAGTTCATGAGCTGAGCCACAGTCAGCTCCTGGTCTTATTTTTGCTGACTGTATAGAGCTTCTCCATCTTTGGCTACAAAGAATATAATCAGTCTGATTTTTGTATTTACCATCTGGTGATGTCCATGTGTAGAGTTGTCTTGTGTTGTTGGAAGAGAGTGTTTGCTATGACCAGTGCATTCTCTTGGCAAAACTGTTAGCCTTTGGCCTGCTTCTTTCTGTACTCCAGGGCCAAACTTGCCTGTTACTCCAGGTATCTCTTGACTCCCTACTTTTGCATTCCAGTCCCCTATGATGAAAAGGACATCTTTTTATTGGTGTTAGTTCTAGAAGGTCTTGTAGGTCTTCATATAATTGTTCAGCTTTTTCAGCATTAGTGGTTAGGTGGTTAGGCTATAGACTTGGGTTCCTGTGATGTTGAATGGTTTGCCTTGGAAAGGAACCAAGATTATTCTGTCGTTTTTGAGATTGCACTCAAGTACTGCATTTTGGACTCTTTTGTTGACTATAAGGGCTACTCCATTTCTTCTAAGGGATTTTTGCCTACAGTAGTAGATATAATGACCATCTGAATCATATTGCCAAAATCCACTGGATCATAGAAAAAGTGCAAGAATTCCAGAAAAACATAATTAGCCTCCAACTAATAAAAATAAATGAAAAAACAGAAAACAGAAAAATGTCTACTTCTGTTTCATTGATTATGCTAAAGCCTTTGACTGTATGGATCACAACAAATTGTGGAAAATTCTTAAAGACATCTTACCTGCTTCCTGAGAAACCTGTATGCAGGTCAAGAAGCAACAGTTAGAACCAGATATGGAACAATGGACTGGTTCCAATTGGAAAAGGATTACATCAAGGCTGTATATTGTCACTCTGCTTATTTAACTTACATGCAGACTACATCATACGAAATGCCAGGCTGAGTGAAGCACAAGCTGGAATCAAAATTGCCAGGAGAAATATCAATAACCTCAGATATGCAGATGACACCACCCTTATGGCAGAAAGCGAAGACGAACTAAAGAGCCTCTTGATGAAAGTGAAAGAGGAGAGTGAAAAAGTTGGCTTAAAACTCAACATTCAGAAAACTAAGATCATGGCATCTGGTCCCATCACTTCATGGCAAATAGATGGGGAAACAATGGAAACAGTGACAGACTTTATTTTCTTGGGCTCCAAAATCACTGCACATGGGGACTGCAGCCATGAAATTAAAAGATGCTTGCTCCTTGGAAGAAAAGCTATGATAAACCTAGACAGTGTATTAAAAAGCAGAGACATTACTTTGCTAACAAAGGTCCATCTAGTCAAAGCTATGATTTTTCCAGCAGTCATGTATGGATGTGAGAGCTGGACAATAAAAAAGGCTGAGTGCTGAAGAATTGATGCTTTCAGACTGTGATGCTGAAGAGTCCTTTGGAGAGCAAGGTGATCATACCAGTCAATCTTAAAGAAAACCAACCCTGAATACTCATTGGAAACACTGATACTGAAGATGAAGCTCCAGTACTTCACCAAGTATTCACCTGATGCAAAGAGCTGACTCATTGGAAAATACCCTGATGCTGGGAAAGATTGAAGGCAGGAGAAGGGGACGACGGAGGATGAGATGGTTGGATGGCATCACTGACTCAATGGACATGAGTTTGAGCAAACTCTGGGAAATAGTGAAGGACAGGGAAGACTGGCATGCTGCAGTCCATGAGGTTGCAAAGTGTCAGACATGACTGAGCTACTGAAGAACAAGACTAATGTACTTTGAGGAAGGGGAGAGTGCTTTTCTGTTGTGTGTAATTATTCCACAGTGGCAATGTGGATCCAAAAGACTGAATATTTTACAGCATGTTAATAACCTCCAAGAGAGATCAGTTTGTGAGTCTAAAAGTTGGTAATCAATACAACATTTGTACATAAATTTCACACATTTATGATGCATACAAGTGAGCATTCTTACATTGTTTGATTCAATGATTCAATGGTATCTTGAGACATCAGGTGTCTTTTTCGTTGTTTTTAGCTCATTTAACCATATATTTTATTTAGAGACTAGAGTTTTTCAATTTCTCTCAAAAACTACACAGTGTGTGTTTTGATTTAATCCCACAGAATAATTCTGCACTGACCTATAAAGAATGTTCTTCTATTGATTCTGAGTTTACCATCATCAATCACTGATCCTTTACTGACAAAGTGTCCCTGGTAATCCTCTCTTACTAATTTCAGGCCAAAGAAGAAGAAGTCCATCAGATGCGCCTGGACATTGGGAAGCTCAACAAAATCAGAGAACAAATCCATAAGAAATTGCACCAGATTGAAGATCAAAAGGGAGAAGTGGAGCAGCACAAGGAAACCCTGAAAAATCAGATCTCGGGACTAGAGAGAGGTAAACCAAGAATTATTTTGTGTTTTGTTTTTATTAGATTATAAGCATTTCATTGATGACTTATGTCTTTTGACAACTCCATGTGTGTAAGCACAAACCATGAGAAATGAATTCAGTGAAACAACATTGAAACTAATAAGTAGATAATATGGAGGAGACACCATTTTGTATACCTTGAACTTTCTTACCTTAAGAAACTCTTCAACAGATTATGTTGAGCCCAAAGTATTGCTCAGTATTTGTCAATGAAGTAAGTAACAGCAGGAGACATAAGAGATGCTGGTTTGATCCCTGGGTTGGGAAGATCCCCTGCGCGAGCAAATGGCAACACACTTCAGTATTCTTCCCTGGAGAATCCCATGGACAGAGGAGCCTGGCCGGCTATGGTCCATAGGGTCACAAAGAGTCAGACACTACTGAAGTGACTTGGCACGCACGTATACTCTTAAGTCTGGGTTCTACATGATCTTTCCTTCAGTTTTCTTTTTCACAGAAGATACAGGAGAAATGAAACCTGAATATTCCCCATGAGCAGTATATGACACAATAGTGTACCCAGAATCAGCAAGACAAAAATAAATGGCTTCCAACTCCTTTCCTCTTACCATATGGCAAATTCCTATTCTACCGAACTATCACTTTGACCTGTGGAGGGAAAATTTAAGTGCCACAGGAGGCCAGGTAGTATAGAAACATCGTTAAGGATACAGACGCTGAAGTCAGATGTGCCTCGGTTCAGATGCCACCTTCTCATTTAGCTTTTGGGGATGAAATGGCTAATATCTAGAAAGGACAGTGCCTAGCATGTAGTAAGTGCTTACTGAATGTCACCTATTATTATCCAGATATATTACTGCTTATAAAAGTAATGAGAGAATGTTATCCCTTTCTGGAAAAGAATATAATTAAAAATATGGTATATACTAGTTAAATATGGTATGGTAGAAATAGCTCGGAGACTTGGAGACAGAGGGATTGGGATTTGAATTCTGAGTGCCCCAGAAAATGTGAGGCAGGAACACCTCACTGAACTCAGCCGTAACTCACTGACTGAGATGACATACCCAGAAGCATAAACATATACATTGCCTCCCTAAAAGTTAAGTAAAATCTAGATCTCTAGATAAGATTATTAGAAATATTTGTCACTAAAGTCCCTGAGAAGTGCCAATATATTTCCTTCTAAGACATCGGAAACAATCTTTTACTGAGGCACAGTTGCAGTTGATATTGATCATTTCTCCACTTATGTACTCATTCAATAAATTGAGTCCATACTGTGTGCAGGCATTATGTTAGGCATTGGATGCATGGAGGTTCCTGCCCTCAGGATGCTTACAGTGTAGCATGAATCTGCAATCTAGTACCTTCAATGACAGATACACACACACACACACAAAGGTAGAACTGGTAGAGCACATTTTGTAATTGGCATCAGTCAGTCAGTCAGTTCAGTCGCTCAGTTGTGTCCAACTCTTTGCGACCCCATGAATCGCAGCACGCCAGGCCTCCCTGTCCATCACCAACTCCCAGAGTTTACTCAAACTCATGTCCATCGAGTTGGTTATGCCATCCAGCCATTTCATTCTTTGTCATCCCCTTTTCCTCCTGCCCCCAACCCCTCCCAGCATCAGGGTCTTTTCCATTGAGTCAACTCTTCGCATGAGGTGGACAAAGTATTGGAGTTTCAGCTTCAGCATCAGTCCTTCTAATGAACACCCAGGACTGATCTCCTTTAGGATGGACTGGTTGGAGCTCCTTGCAGTCCAAGGGACTCTCAAGAGTCTTGTCCAACACTACAGTTCAAAAGCATCAAATACCATTAGAACCACCCAAGTCAGAGGGTGGAAGCAAGCTGTGTAAGAAGGGAGATATTAGCAGGAGACATGGGGTCAGTTTGGAGATTCTTGGGCATCCTTATGAGCCCTTGGTTGCTTGTTAAGCTATAGGAATTGGCTGTGCTGTAGCCTCCTGCCTCCTGTCACTCAAGCCTATTGAGTGACAGGTCACCCGGCTTGCTTTCCTTTATCTATGAAGTAAGATCAGCTTCTTGGTGTTTCAGATCCTTGGTGTCATTCTCTTAGTCAAGTGTAGGATGGTTTAGAATTCATCTGAAAGTCAGGAAAAAACCCAAGTAGCAAGCCAATTCCTGGAGCAGACTCCTGCTTTGCTTGTTTTCTCTGAAAAGAAGAAAACTCTTCAGGTCACAAAGAATAAAAGCAAGATTGGTGAAGGGTCCATCAATACTCAAGATGAATGTAGAGCTAATAAGAGTTCATCCAGCTGTTTGAAATGAAATCGTGAGTACTAACTCAGGAACTCTGAACCTGAAAGAAACAGCCATAGCAACTACCAAACCTCTATGGACAGTATTTAGAGTTCTCAAACATAAGTGTGCTTGATGTCCTCCTGGGAAGCTTGTTAAAGTTGCAGGATCCAGGGCCCCACCATCAGATTCGATGGGTCTCAAAAGTGGGGGTCTGCAGTCTCAATGAACACTTCAAGTCATTCCCTTAAAAGTGGGCTTTTATGGTCTACTCTTTGAAAAACACGTTTTAAAAGAACATGGGTGAGCAACCAATTACTGAGCATCAATTGGTCAACCCCAACAATTGGTGAATAAACAAACGAAAAGATTAGAGATTTTAAAAAAGAACAAATGCATACATGGATGTCTATATGCCTGTGTATGCACATAGACATGTTTAAGTTTCAAGCCAGAAGTTTTCAAGATGGGTTTCACAATACGTAGTTTAATGAGCTACTTGCCAGATCCTGTCAGATGCAGGCGATGGTGAAGCCTCTTGGGAGGACAATGCAGTTGGTGGTGGCAGAAGCTATACTCGATCCTCTCATGTCCAGACTCTCTAGAGACCTCTGAGCTGAGCACTCTTTAGAAACATCTGTTTGGAGTCAATGCCTCCACCCAAAGGAATGAACTTCAGGTTAAAAATTGAAGACACCCTGACCAGTCAAAGCTTATTATTTATCATTTGGGTGTATTTTTGCCATCAGTGGTCTAGACTGTTACCGGTATGCAAATTAGGCATCACTGAAGACGCCAGGGCTGGAACCTCTCCTCCACCCAGACAGCCTGTATTCTAATAATGGCATTTCCTGCCTGTCTGGTCACTAATTCTCTGAGATGCAAACAAAGGAGAAATGAGAAAAAAAAAAAAGAAATGATCTGCCAGGTAGCTCTATGGAAAAATTCCTGCTACTAAGTGAAATAAGTCAGACAGAGAAAGATAAATACTGTATGATATCACTTATATGCAGAATCTAGAAAATACAACAAACTAAATTAGTAAATATAACAAAAAAGAAACAGACTCATTGATATAGAGAACAAATTAGTAGTTACCAGTGGGAAGAGGGAAGTGGAGCAGGATAACATAGGGGTGGGGGAATTAGAGGTACAAATTATTATATAAAATAAGCTACAAGGATATATTGTACAACACAGGGAACATAAGCGATAGTTTACAATAACTATGAATGGAGTATAAAAATTGTGAGTCACTATATTGTACACATGTAACATACATAATATTGTGCATCAACTCTACGTCAATTATAAAAAGAAATTTCCCCGCAAATTAAGATTTGTATCTCTTCTTAACTTTGGTTTCTGAAATAATAACTAATATGCGTATCCCAGGGTACACAGTGGTAAAGAATCTACTTGCCAATGCAGGAGGCACAAGAGATGTGGGTTCAATCCCTGGGAGGGGAAGAACCCTTGAAGAAGGAAATGGCAACCTGCTCTAGCATCCTTGCCTGGAAAATTCAGTGGACAGAGCAGCCTGCAAGGCTACAGCCCACGGAGTCACAAAGAGTTTGACATGACTGAGTGAGCACGTGTACACAGACACACACACACACACATCATGCTTTATTCCTTAACAAAGTCCTTTTGAATTAATATATTGTGTGTGATATCATCTCTTTATCCTCCCATCAGCCCCTTGAGGCAGGTCAGACAGAGGGTTTAGTAACACCTGGGTCCTCCAGCTGAGAAGGGGCAGAGCTCAAATAATCAGAACTGAGACTCTACTCAGCCTCCTGATTGCAAATCTGAAACCACAGCTCTCTGAACCAGACAATCATCCCCTTAAATCCTTCAGGGAAAAAGGGAGGGGTGCAGATTACTTAATGAGCTAATTCTTCCATTGAAGAAATGGCTCAGACAGTTATGGCTACTCTCAGGCTCACCATTACATTTGTGTTTGCTTTTCCTTAAAATTAACTTCATTATGTTACTGAGTGGTGGATGCCAACACGTTTATCTGCAGGGAATTACAATTCTGGGCTGGAAGGAAGCTCCCTCTTGGATGCCTTGCAAGACCCATCAAAGAACCTGATGGAAATTGAGCCTGTTATTAATGAGACAGGGCAATTTGGCGCAGAGAAAACAATCTTCTAAAATGACTATGTCAGCAACCTCATCGGATTCCCCCCCTGAAACAGAGCAGGGACCAGTTCCCACAGGGCAGAGGCCATGTGGTTACACATTTATATGCTCCCTGGTACTGAACAAGGTGCTGTAGACTGAGTGGGTGCCCAGAGATGTCTATGAGATGGACTCTTCAGGATGGATATGTGATTTGTGAGCTAGAAAGAGGTGCAGAGAACAGAGTCAAAGAATAATAAATTAAGGTCTGAGGGTTTTCATCCCAGCTCCAGCCTGTAAGAGCATTTTATTCTTCTTTCTCATGGGTAAAGTTCTTTAGTGAAGAATAGGACAAGTTAAGCATCTTGCTTTTCGATAATCGATATAAAACCTGCCAGAGGTGGGGTAAGCAAGCAAAGCAATTAAATCAATATAGCAACAGAAGGGAGGTAGTCCAAATTCAAAACCGAGCATCCTAGCTAGCAGTAAGAAAAAAAAAAATAGATCACTTCCCTTTGTAAAACGATCCCCTGGCTAACACAAGATTGACTATGCTTAAGGGTTAAATGCATTACCAGCTAGCAAAAGACCTTCTGAAGAGAGAAAGGGGAAGCAAGAGAGGCCAATGCTTAAGAAGTAACTTATTTAATA